GTGGTCTCAGTGGACTGTGAAGTCTGTGTCTTTTAAAGGTAAATTTGCTGAATATTAGATTAGAGTCTGAATTTGAGCTTTACCATAAGTAAGTTTCATGAAGTTTCTCTGTCTATATGATTAGAAATTACATTACTAGGTAGTTTTAGGAACTCTTTCCTTATCTCCAGCTCTATTGGAGAATGTATCACAAATGCAGTAACTATATCAAAGCAAAACACATGCTCTAAATATTCTGGATGATGTCTGGGGCACCAGCACACAGCTAGGTGAAGAAACAGTTCCTCCCCCACAACAGGGACTTTCCTCTTGCTCTACAGTTGGCCTAAAAAGAGGAGTACTGTGGAGATGAAAAAACATTTCCATCTGCTAGCTCATTATTTTTGGCTGTGTGGAAGTAAGTTTGCTGGGAAACACAGAAGGACACTCAATCTATGGCTCACCCACCCCAGCCAGCCATGCCCCCTGGCTTTTCATGGGCACTTGATGGTCCAGGAAAAACTCTTTGCTTTTGGCTGCCATCTTTTCAGGAGCCTAATGGTGTCTCCTCCAACATTTTAGACTGAGGCTTTTTATGATGTAAATTCACAGCCTGCTTTGTTCCTCTGCATTAAGGCAGAGTCTTCAGGAGGTTTTTACATTAGAGCACTAGGACTTTAATGACTTCTTTGTTTTTGAGGAACTGTTTTCTTCCTCTGATGCTCAGACTGATTGGCTCTCTAAGGGAGGGACTGTGTGACTGCTCATGCTCTATCATAAGGCAAGAGATTTGGTTTTCTAGATGGATATGTTCTTTATTGCTGCTCAAGGGGCAGTCTTACATGTCAGCTGTCCAAATAACCTCTCTCGTATAAAACATGAGAGAATTATCAAATCCCTCTGCCACACTGCCCTGGAAGTGGCAACTTTTAAGTTATGAAGATGGGGAGAGGGGTTGAGTTTCTGCTCACGTATTATGAGAAGCATAATAGATGTGTAACATCTGATTATTCAGTGCCAAGATCCCACCAAATCTTGTATGGAACTTTTCCACCTCTTCAAGTGACTTTGCACATGAGCAATCTCTTCTGGTGTTGAAGCCTTTCTGCCGTGTCAATTAGGTCTTTTGTATTTACACCAAAGATCAACTGAGACAACTGTGTGCACAAGCCAACTCAACGTTCTATCTCTTCTGGAAACACCTGTGGTTTGTCCAAACTCAGGGGAAAATGTGTGAACTGTACTGATTTGGGTGGGGCAATTGCTAAGCTGTTTTTTCAGTCCTGGGAGAAGAAGTTGGAGCAAGGTATCAAGAAAGTAGGCTGGCATGGAGTAAGGACATCCATGTAAGTTAAATAGAGTGCATCTAAAAGAGAGATTGAGCAAATATTGCTGTCAGTTGCTATCAGAGAGAATTGGGAAAAAAAACCTGAGTATGTATCCCGCTTGCAGTCACTGTACAGTCTTACAGGTGGCAGATTTATATGACTCAGGAATCATCAGAGCATTGTAAGATATATCCCAGGAAACAAATGTGGATAAACACAATAAAGACCTCAGATCATTCTGGAGGAAACCCAAAATAAAATAGAACAGGCAAGACTTCCTGAATGCCTCAACATTTGTAAAGGGCCTCTAAGTGCTTCTTTAGGGTTATGGCAATGCTAGGAGTCTTGCTTGAAGAGGACTAGGGCTGTTCTCCTGTTAATTCCTGTCTGGAACATTTTCATGCATTAAACCCAGGAAGACATTTTGCAAGTAAGGCAGTGAACATATGCCTTTCTGAGGCAGAGCTATGTCTCGGGGAGTAAAAATGTGTGTAAGTGCACGTTTATGTCAAGTTGGCTGGAGTCGTTATAGCTCTGTGATGCCTATCTCTAAGCACCTCTTCTGGATTGTGTCAAACACTAATGAAAAAAGATAAAATAGTCTGTCTGAGGAACACATGTGAGACTGTTCACAGATTTGGCTGAATTTTGCTGATGGTTATTGGGACGTGTGTAGGAAACAGAAGAGTACAATAGAAAGAGCAAAGGTGTTTGCGGGAATTGTCATTCAAACCAGATTCCACATTGACATAGCAGATATGCAGTTCTGCTGTAATGAGGAAATTAAGCCAATAAGGAATGCATTCTCTCAGAGGGCTACAACACAAGCTTGTTTAGAATTGCCGTTAAATTGTGGTACACTTCACAAAGAAATAGATGTGAACATTTCAGAAAGCAGTCATCAAGCACCTTGTTGTTTGCCAAGAAAAATAGGCAATTATGAACATTATGTCCAACTATGCATCATATCGACTCCAGTCAAAACCATTTAAATCCAGTCAAGCATTGCTTTCACACATAAAACCGTACCCAATGCTTGATTATACCTCAGCATACCAGGTATGCAGCCTAGGATGTTGGCCAATAAAAATATTCCATTGTCTAGGAATTTTAATCCATGCATCTATATTTATAAATGTCATAAATTTGATTGCAAAAGATTGCAATTATCAAACCCTTGCTGTTTTCACTTTTCTGTCCAAATTTGTTAAAAAGCCTTTAAAATCAAAAGCAAATAAATAAACAAAGTTTGATGAAAAGGGGCACTGTCAAGCTTTTAAGTGAAAAAACTGGACATAGAAAATAACTTAGCTTTTCTACAGTCCTTTACCCCTCCCCAGGTGATCCTGCCTCTCAGTAAAGTAAAATTATTACATGGAGAAAATGGTTTAGACTGCACATACCCAGACTGAGAAAAAATTGCTTCAATATAGATATATTAAAAACAAACAAACAAAAAAAAAGCCTTTCAGGCACTTTTGTGGTCTCACAGAAACAATGAATTCTATTCCTCCTACTGCTCTGCTGAGGTAACTAATTAGCTTTTTCCCCCTCCCTTATAAAAGCCCTTTATATTGGAGACTTATTCTAAAAATGTGTCACTAGCTGGTATGCAAGCACCAGGTCGTCTCAGCAAGTGTCAGTAGCACTGGGAGTCTTAGCACAGTAGAGCAACCTGTGCTTGAACATTATGTCAATTTGACCTGCTATGAGCATGCTATTGAATTTACAGCTCTGACAGACTAATTGAAGGAGGGCTCTCCATACTTACAGGAACTAGAACTGAGTCACTATTTGTAAACCCAGGAATTTTCTGCTTCCTAAAACAGCTGCTCAGGGATTCAGCCTTCTAGGTCTATGCTGCTCAGCCATCCACTGGATGAGTATTTCCTTTCACCTTCTCCATCCTAATTTGCGCTTTTTTCCCTAGCACAGCTTTCAGTGGGAGACACTTGCCTGATTTCATTATAAACATGATGGCTAAAATATCGCTGTCAAAAATCTTCCCAAGAACAATGTTGCTGTCAAACACTCCAGACAAACTGTGTGGTTAAATGCTTAACTCTTGAGTACAATGACCACAGCTTAACTGAAAGTAAGATTTTATCACTACTGGTATTAAAAATGGCATGTACAATCCTAAACAGGAAAATGAAGGGATCAAGTAGCTTTGGTCTGTCACTTCATGACCAGACATTCCAGGAATCTTTGGGAGACCTTTAGCCAGTGAAAAGACATGTACAGTAGCTGACAAAAAGTATTTTTTCGGATACTATCAAAGGTGAATCTGCACAGAGGGAGTTGATTTCATTTTATTGCAGCCAGTTTTGGAACGTACATGCCAGAAACAGGAATGTTTCCTTCATTTAGCCTGATTTATCATTACAAGAACTAACAGAGCTCCTTCATAAACTACTGGAGCTCAGCTCTGGCACAGATCCAGCAAAGTTACACAACTTACTTAACACCACAAAGAATATAATGCCTCTATTTACCCCTCAAATAATGCCCACCATTTTTCACAGCATTGTACCAAAATTCATTAATGAATTCTGACAACATATAGGGACAAAAGGTATTTCTTTTTCCCAGCAGAATAAAGAGAATAGGAACTATATTTTGAAAGCCAACCATGACCCCAAAAGTTCAGGTAGGTACCTAAGATACATACAGACTCTAAGCTGAATTTCTTGAAAGGAGTGGTAGGCACCTAAATACCTTTGCAGTGTGCTGTCAATAGAGAGCTGGGTTCTTAGGCAAAGATTTAGGCATGAGGCACTCCCTCTTCACACCCACCTGTTGAATGACTTACACCTCTACCTAATTTAGATGAGCACTATTCTTTTCTCCCCTTAGGGCCCAAGAGAATTTCCCTGGTTATTTGCCCTGTGTAGGAGCTCCACCTTCAAACATCTGTGGTCTAGCCTTTTTCTGTAAGACTCTTTCGCAGTGGGTGCAGGGTAAATTGATATCAAATTGGAACCTGGGTTAAATAGGTACTGTTGGCCACCTTTCACATGCTTTTTGTATATTGTGTGTGTGTGCAAGGGGAATGTTAGTTTTATGCAAACAGTTATAATGTAATCCAATGCGTCAGTGCTCCATGACTTTCTCGCATTTAGCCTTGTTTCGCCCTCCATGCTTGACTCTGGCAGCCTCACTATTTTTCTTCTTATCTTTATGCAGTAGCTGAGTATTTGCACTCAGAAAGATATCAAGGTACCTAAAAATTAAAGTTGTCTAAGTGCTTTTGATTTTAGCAGGAATTAGAAAACTAATTAAGAAAAGGATATTTGACTATGTTTGTAGATCTGAGCGTTGACAAATGGTTAACAGCCATCTCAGTTTGTGAGAAAAATAAAAAATTTATAACAGTGTTTTTTTGAGCAATGTGATAAACTGCTATGAGTGATGTGAGAATCCTAATATTAGTGCACAGGCATTAATCTGATTTCACTTTTCAGTGTTGAACTCTATTCATAAATACATTAAGCGATCAGCAAACCAAACGCTGAATGTTATATTAGTTCAAAGCACAAACTAGGCACAACATAAAAAAATGAACCTTGAGTGGTTTTTGCTTGAACTTTGTATGTAACCATATTAAGATGCTGAATATTTCAAAGGCTGAAAGTATTTATAGCTTTTGACTTTTAACCGTATTTTATCCTTTGCCTTATTTCTTGTCCTCAGCAAATGTCAAGTGGGTGTTGTGTGGAACTGAGAGAGACCAATCTTGAGAGAACATCCGCCTTCAATAAGTGGAACTGCAGATTACACAAAGCTGCAGGCATAAAAGCAGCTACAAAAGAAAGTTCACTCTGAAAATGAAACAATTTTCTCTAGAAAAATGAACATGAAAGTTAAAGTAAGGACTTAACTGAAATCGTCATGCTTTTAGAAAGTGTACTTTGTATCTAACAGTATTTGCTATCAAATTAAATCTGTGATGAAGGTTTTAGTTTTAAAACTTTCTATTTCCTTTTACTGGAGTTGGCATGTTTATACAAAAAAAAAGCCAGTCAATATTCACTCTGCTTCTGAGAATTATGATCTACCAAGTAAGCTTGAATTTCTGAGAATTATGATCTACCTAGTAAGCTTGAATTTCTCTGTAAATTCAAGTCATTCTTTTAAGAAGAGCATATAAACGCTCTGAACAGGATGTTTTTTCAGAGATGTAATTCAAGTCCAAGTGGCTGGGGTATCTGACTTATCTCATTACAGAAGAGACCAGAATCAGGGCTTGCTTTGTAATGCATGTACAGAGTGCAGAGTGCAGGTGATGACTTGAGTTCTGAAAGCTTGTATTCTAAAACTTGCACCCACACATTCTGAAAGCTCAGTCAGATTTATCAAAAGGTTAGCTAAAGTTGTGAACCTTTCAGGTAAACTTATGGTTAATTTTGAGTGAATATTGACTGATTTATAGTTACATGTATCTAACATGCTGAGGTTCAGCTTTTTTTCTTACTGTGTTACATTTGGAGTTATTTTGGTTTATTTAAGCCTGAAGTTCAAACTGAGTTTCATGAGAGACAACCCCCTAGAAACTAAACCCAAGGACACTGATAAAAATCTGAGGATGGAAATTGCTGAGTTTCAGGCAGGTCTGGAGCAGCAAAGCCTCCTTTTCAGCCTCTTCACAATCCTGCAGTCTGCAATGAGAATACAACTGAGCTGTACTTAGGGGAGTTTTGACAGAGTGGAATGATTGAACCTTGGGAAGAGAAGGGCAGAAGAAGCAAACAAACACAGTTTTTTAAGATGAGATGCAAAATAGCTGTATATACTCTACGTCATGTTGCAAGATAAAGTTTCTTCCTAATTTCCCATGGCACAGTTCTGTAGGAAAACTCAGGACACAGTACATCCTCGGATCCAGAAAATGGAAACAATACATCTAGGATACTCTTATGTCCTGCTAAGCTTGGCTACAACAGCAAACAAAGCACAGGTGTGTAACCATACTGTGCAGCAGGCCTGGACCAAGTGGCATCACTTGACAGTTTGTCTCTTCTCTTGGTGCAACTCCATGCTTGTTTTGGGCCTGGCTAGGGTATGAGAAGGCAGGCAGAGGGTCTATATGGCCACACAGATGCTCTTAGAGATGCTGCACTGTGCTGGTTTTGCTAGCTTTGAACCCCTCACATAAACCTGTGTGTCTTCTGTGAAAGCTGAAGCAGGGCCTCTGCTAGTTCTCTCTCCTACAGAGCTAGCAGGAAGGTTGAGCCTTCACCAGAGGCCAGCACAAAGCACTTTGGGTTCTGCTGCACAGGAAGGGGAGGGAGAACAGCATCCCTCTTTCCTTTCCCCCATTCCTGGCCCCTGCTCCACCCCATTCCCACCCACCCCCCTCCCTTCCCGAGACAAATGTATCTGGGCCTCCTGGAAAGTGAGAAATGCTCCCAGTTTTTGTAGCTTGACATAGTTTGGTTTTATTGGCTTCTGCTTTGATTTGCCCTCTGGAGGAATCTGGCAGTGTCCCATGATAATATGCAGATCCCAGGGGGACCTGTGTTTCTACCTAAGTGTATAAGTAACATGAGATCTGGTCTCACTATCCTTCATTGCTTAGTCTGTTGCATAGCTTTGCATAATTTTGTTGCACTACTTAAGTAGATTACACAGATAATAATAACTTTGAAGTCAGGTGTGACAACTTTCAGATTAAATTCCAGCTTCATGTCCTGTACTCTATCAGTCTATAAAAGGTAGAAGTGAATATATACACAATATGGAGTCTATTGTTTCCTGTCATCTGGAGTACGATTTTTATTATTCTAGGTGATTGCTTTTTATGTCTAGCTTGAAATAGAGTTCTTATAATTGCATTGTTTACTTCTCTGGAGAAACCAGTTTGTTTTCCTATTCTCTTTTGAAATTTAATTAATTCCTTCATGAACAGTTAGGAGCTGAATAGAAAAGGTCTGCTTAGGGGCCAGATTCTTCTGACTGTATAAATATAAAGGTTCCCATAGTCTAAATATGATGCTTCTACTTCCCTGCAGCAGCATCAAAACGTAAAGCTTAGAAGCAGCCAGGACATAGAGAAAATAATTACTAATTATTAAATAACTACTACTACTACTAAATCAAGTACTTTATACCAAAAGTAAGCTGACCCTATGACAATCTATTCTTGATAACTGGTAGTACAGATAAAGGAAAGAGATGGGGCTAGATAATTTATTAAGAGAGTTATAAAAACAGCTAGCAGACAGTTAAATGATGACATTATCTTTCACAGCATGAATAAATGTCAGGTATATCATGGAATGAAAACCAGCTATGTTTCAACCTGGGTTTAAATATTTGGAAATGAACACCTTCAGTATTTTCTTAATGTACTTTGTTAATTAAGTCAGTGGGATGTGTGCTCCCAAGTCCCTCAGGCGTCACTGAAAGTGTGTCCCCCTAAGTCAGGCTGACAAAATTTATTTATGTGATTCAAAAAGCATATCAAATCTTACCCCATGATTTAAGAACTCTGTTAGTTATTTAAAGCTACAAAAATAAATAGCAGTATATACCCCAGCTCTCTACACCATTCTTCTTTCTGTCCATCTCAAATGTCTGTTAAAACAAGGAGGTCTGCAGTGCCACCTCAAAGGTACCATGTCTGAGATACTTAGCCCAAAGGCATGGAGAGCACACTACTGCAGTGACAGCAGGGTGGGTGGCATCAGACTGTTGTGGGAGACACAGGGGTGTGTGGTGAGGCTGAGACGGGGCAGGCTTTCCACTTTTGGGCTGAAGGTTGAGGAAGTGCTAAATAGAGCACTGTAAAAGACTGTGGGTTGGATGTGGTACATGATGGCACCAGGAGAGGCATAGCGAGGGTAAACCTTGACAGTATGGAGATAGTTTAAAGTATGGGTATAGGTGAGTTTTACCAGCTGGAGAGGTTTTCACTGGGTGTTAATAGACATAGCTCAGACCTTTCAAAGAAGTCCTATGCAAATAGGAAGCTTCTGACTGCGATGGAAGGATCATTGAGCCTAAGTAGATGTTTGCTATTCTTGCAAAACTGTGTACTGAAAACTCAGTGCTATTTCTGACACATGGGCTGCATGTTGAGTTCATACAGGACTCTGAGGGCACAGGTAATGTCAAGTCCCATTTAAAAATCCCTGAGCTCTTGAATATGGCAATTTTGTTGCATTTTTCATTCTGTGATTCTGTATCACATTCTATTTGGTCAAGTCAAAATATTTGGATGGACTGTGACCTCTGTCACAGAAACTAATAGAGCGACTAACAGCTCTAAGGTTGTCAGACAGTGTGAATTTGAGATAGAATAATAGAAACACAGAAAAAATAGCTGATTATGACATGAGGTGCTGTAATCATGGCTCCTTTTTTTCTTTATTGCAGCAGCCATCCTCACCCTTGCCTGGAAGACCTGAGAAAGGAGGTGGAGAGAAAAGTGTCCACTCTTTGGTCTCTGCATGGGTGACAATCATTGTAGGTGGGGGACCACTATACCAACTGATAGAAGTGCCTGAAAATGTTCCCAGGCTCTGCTGCTGGACCAGAAAACAAACCCTGTTCCTGCTAATAAATTCCATCATTCTCTGTAACTAGATGGCTGTGTGAAAAAGTGCCTGTTGGAAATGATCCTGGGAATATTTATACTCCCAAGCTGGTTTGGGATTTTTTTGTATGAGTGCTGGATGGCATGTGTGCCAAAAGTGTGCCAGGAAATAGTTTGACAATTTAGGGATTGCCTAGATTAGGAAAAAGGCCCAATAAGAACAGATCCATGGCAGAAAACATCTGGTGTTGAGGATCACATCCACACTGACATTCAAAGTCTTTGTATTTCAGAGTTTTACTGTTTCCTAGCTCTAGCCCACTCCCGCAGACAGAATGTCCATTAGCAGTCAAAGTGCATTAGATGCCCTCTGAGACTGCTCCTCCAGGTTTATTTTTATCTGGAAGGAATTCATTTTGCACATTCCAAACATGATGTGAACCAAAGTGCAGGAAGTGAGAACTACTGGGAGATTTGCTTCAGTAGTGCATCCTCATCTGAACTATAATGCTACCTCACATACACTCAGAGGCAACTGCGTCTCTCTGTTTGAGAACATTCCCAATCACAGTTTAATTTACCAGTTCATCCAGTTCAATTGCACATAAAAATTGTGAGAGGCTTTGGCATGCTAAGTGGAAATTGGATTTAAAATTTTATTGCTAAAATTGAGTAAATCTCTACTGAATGTTTGAACTGTCATTCTTAGAGTGCCTGGAATAAATTTGGGAAAGTTTGCAAGTGGATGCGAAAAACACAACTGTTATATATAGACTGTGTTCATGAAGTGTTTTAAATGTGTCTGGCTAGCGTATCTGAGAAAAGAGGAGGGAGAGAGAGAGTGTTTGAATGTTAAAGGGAAAGAGAAAGGCCTAAAGAGTATTTCTTCTTACAGATTAGAAAAATCTTCACAGTAAATTTACAGCCAAAATTTCCAGTCCTGACTAAAGCAAGTGATGTTTGGCATGCTGTATCTGCAGGTCGTGAGCTTTAATTACATCACATTATCTTTCACTGTAAGATCTGGACTGCAGTTGCCTTTAGGTTGGAATCCAAACTGATAAGGAGCTTTTTATCACTACACAGTACATCAGACGTAGTTTGTAAGGAACAGATAGTCATCTGCTCTACCAACCTGCCTATTCTAGTTGAAGTTGCCTCCAGGGAATATATACCAGAAACTTTACATTTAGAACACTTAAAAAGAAAGATTCCTGGCAAATGTGATGGCATAAGTGGTATTTAAAGAAAAGCTGTGTAATATAGTACCTAAATAATTTTATAGTCCTACTGCTATTTTAGTATGCTGGTAGGATATCTGGACCACTTGCTCTTGACTTGTACCTTGTTAGTAATGATGTTATGCATAATGCAGCAAAGGAATTCTTCATTCCTGAGCAGGGGAACAGAAGTGAACAGAAGTGCCTTTTACAACTCATCTCTTATGGATCAAAGGAAACGTCAAGCTTGCCTTATCATGTAAGCGAGTTTAGCGTCCTTGAGCTTTGCTGTTAGAGTTACACATACTTAGCCCACAGTTTTTGCTATGTTTGCATTAACTGAAATTGTATGTTTATGGATTGCACAGGTTTGATTTCTGCTGGTAGTTAGATGTTCAGTGCGTCTATTAAAATTACATATTTTCAGGACTTACTGTGAAATATATCAGAAATTATTAAAAAATGTGAAGATATTTATTTGGGCTAAAATAATCTAAAAAACCCCCAAACCCAATTAATTTCAAAAATAGTCTGTGAGGGGAAAGATTAGAGGAAAAAAAATCCCAATAACTGGAAAATTATTCTTTTTGTGTACATTTATTACAATTTTATTTTAGTAGTGTTTGTGCTTTCTGTATTTGTAAAACATAACTTAAAAACAGTATAGACGTAAAGGCTGGAAGCTGGGAAATGAAACCTTACTGTGGTCATACTGTTAAAATGAATGAGGGATTTTGTTGCTAACTACACGTTTCTGTCTGGTGTGTTTTATACCTTCATTGTATATTGTGTATGTGAAGTACAAATCATATAAGTGATAGAGTAACTGCTTTACAGTGTTAACCAATCCACTAAATGCTGTCCTAAAAACAAACAAACAAAAGGCACTGTAATGTTTGACCTTAATGCCTTTTGGTGGGGACCTAGTACATTATGAGTCTGAACAGCATTGCTTGTCTCATTTAGATTTCAAGGTTTTTAGGGCAAAGTGTATGTTCCATCTGGGTTTTGTGTCTTGCTGAGCAGTTTGACAGTTTCTACTAAATCATAATAATTAGAACAGCAAAAATTCTAATTGGTGTCTTTGAGAAAAAAATGTCTCACGAAGCTTCTCCCGTTGAACAATCAATACACACTTTCTTAATTGAAGAGAGCCATATTAGCCAAGAAACTTTTTATTCCTACTCATGCATTTACCCCTTCCCATCAAATCTATATCGTACTCTTGTTGTGGGAAAACTGTTTACCTGGTTGGGTGGTTGTGCTGCTGTTGGCCTCGTAGCTTTCAAGCCTGCAGCTACTATTTTTTTGCTAGTTCAGCATTTCTTCAAAAGAACGCTCATTTTCCAGGAAAGAATGCCATAGAAAGGATCCTGAAAATGCAATCTGGGTGTATTTATGTATTCAACTGTATTCTACTTTCATCTGTTGTTTTTTGTAAAGCAGAAGGGTAGAAGCCAGTTTTCATCTCAAAGCCATGTAGGTATGTAAGAAACTCAGGTAGAATTGAGGTAATATATCAGGACTTGCATTAAAAATATTTATCCCAAAGAGCTTTGGGGCTGGAGCTGGCATTCTTCCTGCTGGATTTGGACTCTTGGGCAGAAATAGTGTGTGACTGACTACGCAGAGATTCCCCATGACTGGCTTACTGTGCTGGTGCCAGCTTTCTATCAACTTTCAGGTCTCTTCTCCAGTAACAGAGCTCTGGGTTTCGGTGCTGAAATTGTGGTATTCTCTTCTTTCATGGTGTTTAGAAAAGAAACAGTGGTTGCCTACCTAGGTATTGATGTTAAATATTTACTTAACATTGCCAAAATTGGTGAGAAAAAGAGAATTTTCAATGGGAAAAACATACTGGCAGTAAGCTTTGTTTATAACAGTAAATCAGTTTTTGTCTTACCAGTGTGTGCTGTCTGGTTTCTTTTTCTATAAGCTTAAAGAGGCAGAGGTGACTAATAGAAAGGGCAAAGTAAGTTTTAGCTCTCATCTAGAATAAAATGTCCCAGACCTTGGTTAATTTTGTCCATGGATAGCCTATTTGTTCTTTCTTGAAGTCTATTTGTTCTTTCCTTCACTTGACTGTACTGGGGGTTTGAACCTGTGAGCAAAAATATCTTTAAATAACTTCTAAGTCTTATTTTGGCACTCAGCTACTCAGGCTTTCCTTTGAACACTACCCCTCCTTGTACCAATAGGAATACTCTTTATATGATTGTGTTCTGGCATCATTAACACTTCTGTGAGTTTTGTTGTTGGCAGAACACAGCCAAGATTTCACCTTCACTCCCCAAAGAACTATGCAAAACCCCTCCAAGTTTTCATTTGCTTATTTTTTTTTTTTTTTAAAGTCTACTGAACATGTTCAGGCTGGCATAAACATGGGGATGCTACAAACACCTGACTGGTTAAGGAAAATGTCTGGGCTGACATAAATGAAATATGGTGCATAATTTGGGTCAGAAGTCTACAGACTTCATGGTATAGAAGTGGTGACAGCAGCAGCAGTCCCTCTCAGCTATGTACAGGAGCAGGAGAAGGCATATAACTGTTTACCCAAAATTTGTGTGTGCTGCAGTCTGAGAAACTGTGGGCTAGATATTTCACTTAGAGGTTTCTCATTTATGCATTTCTTCAACCTGATCTAAAAGTCTTGGTATGCGTGTGAATATATATATTTATATATACATACAAACAATATTCTCTAAGCAACCCACTAAATGTTCAAACATTATAAATCTTCTCTTAAAAAAAATAATTTCCTTTCTTAATAACTTCCCCATAAAATGGTTACACAGAATTTCTCTATGTTGATGCAGAAAATAAACTACATTGTGATGTCTATGTAGACTTAGATCTGCTTCACACAAAAACAACAAGCTCAACTCTTTCATATATAAAATACTCCAACATATATACTAGACAAGCACTATTCCAGTCTTGAGTCATTTTCTTCTCAGGACAAGGAGTGAATGCATCCTATAGTTCTGTGTTCAAGTGTTTGAGAGGTGCTTAATATTAAATTTTAATAACATAGATTCAACAATTATCATTACTTTACAATACATTGAATCCAAAGACTTTGGAGCAGGATCTGGTAGAGTGCTCTTTACATTCTTGGCACCTGTTGTGGTCTTGAATCTTTTTGACTTTGGCCATAAATTGATTGAAGAGTACTGCAGAGGAACATGAAGTTTATTGAATTCAGGGTTTTCCACTGTTACTGATTATGGGAACAGTAACTCCAGTGATAATTAGGCCCAAATAAATTAAGTTCTTGGTGGATTCCATGGTGTTTCTCTTCAGGAATTAAAGCCTTGACCTACTCTGATAAGAGATATCCCTTCTTCCCTCATCCTCCCTGCCAAGGATAAATGTCAAATCAGTTATAAGCTTTTATGCTGAAATTATGTATGAAATTGGTCTCTTCTTTACATGATTAATGCTATAAACTTCAGGGCAGTACTGAAGTAGTGGGTGAGCTGGATTTTTCTGTGTATGTATGCACTCTTTGTTGTGCATGATAGATAGGTGCCATCTCTTTTAGCCTCCGTATTATTTTTTCTTTTCCCGAAGTGTCTCTCTTTGTCTGAGAATCAGTTATAGCAGGAATCAGATGTGCCATCTCTATAGCAGCTGCTATTGTCACTTCATCACCTTTCCAACTTCAAAAATTGTACACAATGTAACCTTAAACTGTGCTTTAAAAGGTAATGTACATGTGCTTCTATTATTTTTAAAGATATTTCCTTTGTGAAAGAAACAGGTTGAGCACCTGCTTTCATTGATGTAAGATATAGTCTTTTTACTCATTTCAATGGGAAGA